GTTTAATTCAGTAAATAAAATTAGTTTAAAGGTTTTTTCATTAAATATTTAGTTTAGGGATTTTTACCCAAAACAAACTTAGTTGAAGGGTTTTTATGTTAAAAATCCAAAAAAGATTCATTGTCAAATTTGAAATGATATGCGGACTAGAGAAGAGGAATGGTCGGAGTGATTCACGGCGACATTTTCAAGTGGGGGAGGGAACATTGTTACCTTGGCCCCATTATCATCGTCATTATCAACAATGTAAGCTCTCTCCATCACTCTCCGTGATGGCTACGTTCATATAAATAAGTCTTACGTGTGTCAATTAGCAATTATATCTCGTTTGACTATCATCCTAGAAAGCATTGATCATTCTTCAAAAAGATAGTATTTGACAAGGTAGCCAATTCAAATACAAGAGTGTATGATCCCTGTTTTTTTTTTTTTTATAACCGAGTATCATGGTTAACCGTAGTGGTCCAGACTAGAGACCGAACTCTATAGCGGCACGGACGCACATCCAAAGATGGGTCATGGTCGGGTAGCGGTCTTCGGTCTCGGACGCCAGAGCAAGTCCGCATGTAAATTCTCTGGTGACCAACGCGGATCGAATCATTTCTTTCTTTAAAAGTTCCTAATATGTATGGTGCGTTTTGTCATTAAAAATATTCGTTAGTAATCTGAATTATATCGTCTTATATATTTTGGAATTTATGTTGGAATGCCTACAAAAGAATATACACATATATAACTCAAAGAATACTGTATTTTATTAATATTTTCTTATTTTTTATCAGAAAGGTATTTAGCTTTTATTCTAATATAACTGGGTAAAAAATACATCAAAAAGCTTTTACGAAGAATAAGGAAAAAGGTTAAAAGGACTTGGCTTTACACTTAAAACTCCTAAAAGCACAATACATCATTCTATACACATTCCCGAAACAAAAACAAAAATAGAATTAATAAAACTTACTACTTTTTAAGCTTTAAGGTAATATTTTAAAACACATCGGAAGGAAGGATAAGCCTATTTCGATTAAAAAGGTCAAAAAAAGAATGAACAATGGTGCGTGGTGGGATGACGAAAATTTAATTTAGCAAAAATTAAAATTAAAAAGAGAAATGATTTGGTCTTGGGAAAGATGGAGAAAGATTGGCGTGAAGCATCAAATTGGCTCTAATCAAGGTCCCTTTTGTTCGTTTCTGTTTATCCAGTTTGATTATGGCTAGTCTTGATTATATAATACTTCATTTGTTTCTTTTTATAAGATGTTTTGAGATTAAGATATTTAACTTTTTTTTTAAATACTTTTAATGATATATTTTTAAAATCATTCAACCAATTATTAAAAAAATTAAAAAAGTTTATTGGTTGAACCGTTTTCAATAAAATTAAAGTTAATTTTAAAATTTCAAAATATATCTTAAAATTTCAAAATATCTTATACTTTAAAACAATATAAAATTTCTAAAACATCTTATAAAAAGAAACGGAAGGAATAACATACTTTTTACTTTTGAATTAGCAGCAAGTATATAACCAATTGAACGAATGTAATAAATACTAGAGTTTCACCCGCACATCCGTGCGGGTTTATTTTCCATTTTATAAATATTTAAAAAAAAATTTAAAATATATGATTTATATTCTAGTTTTAAATATAATTATATCTAATAACGAAATTAAAAAATACTTATTTTATAAAAAATATTTAAATTTTTTTTGATGAGATCTTGTTAGATTTTTTCAACAGATTTTGTTATATTTAAATTCATTTATTATTAATATCCTTATTAACTATTAAGATATTTTGAAAATAATATATATTTGATTGGTTAATGTAAGAATCAAATATGTCAAATTAAATAACTAATGACATGGTCNTTTTTCAACAGATTTTGTTATATTTAAATTCATTTATTATTAATATCCTTATTAACTATTAAGATATTTTGAAAATAATATATATTTGATTGGTTAATGTAAGAATCAAATATGTCAAATTAAATAACTAATGACATGGTCCAACATGACTTTTAAACAGTAGATAAATTTGGTACTTCTCTTTTAATAGAGAAGATATACAGTGAGGACTAAAGAAATACAAACTTTATCATAGAAAATTACCAATCTCTATAGCATCCCAATATGACTACTACTGACCACGCATTCAGATTAGCAATGAGTAGATCCGCTTGATTCACGTATTTTTGTTTGAATAAATTTACGTGATTTTAGGATAATATCTAGTGAAAAAAAATCGAATACTATGCAACCATTGCGAAGAACATCATCTGCACACTCAAATTTCAGAATAATGTTATTATAGGAGCCAAAATAAAATCAAAGCTACAGAAATAATATAATTTAAAAATCCTCTATGCTGAAAAAGTAACCCTAAAAAGTAATAAAATTGCTGAAAGGCATAATTTCATGCAGTGGTCTCTGCGAATGCCATTGTTAAAAGTTCATTTACACGCATACATACCATACCACTCTTGTCGTTGTAACTCTCGAGTCTGTGGCCATATTATTTTCTTCTCTACCATGCCTAGCTAAATTTAAAAGTCTAGTTGGACCAGACTCATGTTCTTCTCAATCTTTTATATAGTGTTGCTGTAAGAGCATCTCCAATGTATTATTCCATTTTCTACTCTAAAATGGAGTAACTCCAAAATGCAGTTGAGTTTTACTCCAATGTATTACTCCATTTTCTACTCCAAAAGAATATTTTTAATATTATATTTATTTCAAAATTAGGAATTCACCTTTCATTTATACTATTTGCAAAACAGTCCATTTTAAATTTATAGCATTTCTATTAAATACAATATTAACCACAATTAAATTTTTATTATATAAATAAAACTACTCAACAAGGTTTTAAAAGAATACATTTAATACATTAAAAATTACATTATATAGCTTAAACACAATAATACATCAGTTCTAAATTATTGATTAGAATTGTAATAATTTTCCCACAAATGATCAACTAATGCATTTAGAAATAAAAAAATGAGCTTCTTTATCTTTGATTTCTCTGAAATGAGAAAGAAACTTTTGGAACCTCACATTATTATTTTCTTCAATTTCAATTTTCCTTGACATGACTTCTCTTTCAACTTCAATTGGCACCTCGAGATCACAATCATCTTCTATTATCATGTTATGTAAGAATTTAATAATATTTTATCGGATTATTTTAATAATTTTAATGGATCCGAAAATGATTTATCGGATTATTACGCAATTATATTTGTTGTAAGTTTTATTTTATGTTATTTCTTTTGTATGGTGCTTATCTTTCATTATCTTTCAATTATAATTAAGAAATATTAACAGTAAATTTTCTAATATATAGTAAAATAATATTAATATACTTATCTATAATAATATTTTATTAAAAATGAGGCTATTTATATAATTAAGAAATATAACAGTAAATTTTATAATATATATAGTACTTATTTATAATAATATTTTATTAAAAATGAAACATATATAAATGTGGAGGACTATNTTTATAATATATATAGTACTTATTTATAATAATATTTTATTAAAAATGAAACATATATAAATGTGGAGGACTATTTGATAAATAAAAAAGTTCAACTCCATTTTGGAGTAATGAGTTGGTTTACTCCATATTTGGAGTAATCATGTTTGTTACTCCATTTTGGAGTAAGTTTTGGAGTAGGGTTGGAGAAGATTTTACTTCAAAATGGAGTTTGGAGTGGATTTTGGAGTGGGGTTGGAGATGCTCTAAGCTTCTTTAGAGCATCTCGAAAAAGACTCTATTTTAAAGTTTCAAAACTCTATATTTGGAGTTTTAAAGTATTCTTCTCCAAAAGAAAAACTTCAAATTTAACTTCAAAATTATTTCTATTTTACATTTTGATCCTTATATTTGTCATAGTTAATATAAATTCATAAAACATTGATAAATAACATACACGTATATATAAATTATACAACAATATTAATTAATAAAATCTTACACTAAAATATAAAATTATAAATACAAATACATGATTATTACAAATAGAATAGCACATTTTTGTTCTCAAATTTTAATTTTAAAATACTTAAAAAATACTAAACTACAAGCAACTATTTTAAATTTTATTATAAATATTTATTTAGTTTTATGTCTAAAACTTAAATTTATAAAAGGTAAAGTTTAATTTGAAATATTTATAAGATTTAAAAAGTTTTATGGATTAAAATAATAAACAAAAAAATATTTATGAATTCTAATTTTTATTTGTAATTGTAAGGATCAAAATGCAATTAAAAAGATGAAACTTCAAATTTAGAGTTTTGAGTATTGAAACTTCAAATATAGAGTTTCACTCTTAAAAACTTCAAATTTGAAGTTTTGAGATTTCTTTTTGGAGAACAAAAAAATCTATATTTGAAGTTATAGAATTTCTTTTGGAGATGCTCTTAGTGCTTCGGTCCACACTGATATTTATAATGATTCTGCGATGATTAAAAAAGTAAGTCGATTTTTAGAGATAAAATTAGATTTTAGATATAAATATGCAAACACCATTGTTTAACTACTTGTGTTATGATTTTTTGTGTGAAATTTGTATGCTAATACCACTGGATGTGGTAGACTAGTGGTTAAGTGTAAGCGCATGATATTGTTGTATTCCTAGTTTGAAATTGTGTCATTGGTATATCAAAAGTTGACTCCCAGAGAAAAAATTAGGATCCAAGGTTCAAATTCTTTTTAGTTAACAAAATAAATTATATGCTAATAATATATTCTTAAATACATATTTTGTAACTGTTAAAATACACAACATATAGATGGAAACGATTAAAATAATGGTCAAAATTATTGAATATTTTCGTTGAAACAAACTTGTATCTAGTTAGAATTTTATTTAACTGATATAGTTGATCTTTCTTTATAGTATTGAAAGAAAAAACAGGCTTTGCCAGTTTATAAAAAAAATTTTTATGTATAAATACATTTGGACTGCATTTGACATAAATGCCAAGAAGCAAGTGGGAAAACAAAGACTCCAAAGTCATCACTTGTCTCCTCTTCCTTTCTTCTCGGCAATACCCACAACACACCAAAGAAGAAGAAGAAGAAGAAGAAGTGACTTCCAGACACATCATGTCTCCTCCTCCTCCTCTCCAATGCCTTACAATATCCTTTGTCCTAATCCTGTTTCTGAGCTTTTCCAGTGTTCTGTCTCACTCCGACCGGATCACCCGTTTACCCGGTCAACCCCGGGTCGGATTCCAGCAGTACTCGGGTTATGTCACCGTCCACGAAAAGAAACAGAGGGCTCTGTTTTACTACTTGGCCGAAGCTGAAAACGATCCCACTAATAAGCCTCTCGTCCTCTGGCTCAATGGAGGTTCATTTTCATTTCTATATTTACATATATGTTTTACTGAAAAAAACAATATCAGAGAACAAATGAATAATATGCAGGACCTGGATGTTCATCTTTGGGTGTTGGTGCATTCTCAGAGAACGGACCATTTAGACCAAAAGGACCGGTTCTGGTCAAGAATCAACATAGCTGGAACCAAGGTAAATTAAATTATAAAACTAAAATTAAGCCTTTTAATTCCACATTTCAATTCTTGTGATTTTCTTGAATTCTTCTTATTGGTGGCTGCAGAGGCAAATATGCTGTATCTAGAGACCCCAGTTGGAGTTGGATTCTCATATTCAACTCAGTATGAGACTGTGAATGATAAAATCACTGGTTAATCTCTCACTAAAACCTTTCTTTGTTTTCTTAAGTCTTGTTTGAGAAAAATGAGTATGGTCCCACTGTAAGCCAAGATCCTTCAGAGAAACTTTGCTGAATCCACTGATTTAGAGACTTTGCATAAATAAAGAAACCATAAACTTTTGTGTCTTCTTTGCTTTTTCTGAAAATACTAATAATCAAAAGTTGTAACCACCATAAACAAGACAATCTTTTTATCGACAAAAAGGGTTTAAAATCTCTTCTTTTTTTTTGTGATGATGATGATGCAGTGACCTGTGAATGCCATTTCTCTGTTTTGTTCTCCTTTTTATATGAAAACTAATAATATATATATTTTTTCTCAATGAATAAAAGTTCAGCTTTTGTATTCTTGCTCTGTCTCAAGACTGACAAAAAGAAGAAAAGAATTCAACCTTTTTTGCAGATCACATCTAAAATATATTCTTTTCTTCTTGTTTCTTTCTGTTGTCTTCACTTCTCAAACATTCATTCTCTCTTTTTGTCTTTTTATCCACTTCAGCAAGAGACAACCTTGTGTTCTTGCAAAGATGGTTCCTCAAGTTCCCTCACTATCTCAATCGAAGTCTCTTCATCACTGGTGAAAGCTATGCTGGTAACAACTTTTGTTTCAGCAATTTCAAGCTCTTCATAGTACATAGCTCTTTTATTTAAAAGCTTCAGTTTCCATGCACATGTAGGCCATTATGTTCCCCAACTAGCTGAGCTTATGATTCAGTACAATAAGAAGCACCATCATTTGTTCAATCTCAAAGGAATTGCAGTAAGTCAAAGACACCATCTTAATGCTATCTTTTACAATATAGTTAATCTTGTTTCATGTTTGTAATCCGTTTCTTTTGTAGATTGGCAATCCTGTTTTGGAGTTTTCCACTGATTTCAACTCGCGGGCTGAGTACTTCTGGTCTCACGGCTTGATCTCGGACTCCACTTACAAAATGTTCACTTCTTACTGTAATTACTCGCGCTATGTGAGTGAGTACTATAGAGGCTCAGTGTCTAGTATGTGCTCTAAAGTGATGAGTCAAGTTAGCACTGAGACTAGTCGGTTTGTGGACAAGTATGATGTCACTCTCGACGTCTGCATTCCCTCTGTGCTCTCTCAGTCCAAAGTCGTAAGCCCCAACGTGAGTCACAACAAAACATAAACATTAGAACTTTGTTATTTGCTCTGTGTTTATGACCTTTGTTGGAATGAACAGCAAGTAGGAGAATCTGTGGATGTATGTGTGGAAGATGAGACGGTGAAGTATCTAAACAGAAGAGATGTGCAGGAAGCTCTTCATGCTCGGCTCGTAGGTGTACGTGAATGGACAGTTTGCAGCAAGTTAGTAGTATTCATTTTCTTCTCTAACAATTTGCCGATGATGTTACTAGTTTGACTTAACCAACTCATGTTTTGTTTGTTTTCTCATGATGAATACAGCGTGCTTGACTACCAATTGCTTGATGTGGAGATACCAACGATTACTATCGTGGGCAGCCTTGTTCAAGCTGGAGTGCCCGTTCTTGTCTACAGTGGAGATCAAGATTCAGTGATCCCGTTGACAGGAAGTAGAACTTTAGTGAGCAGATTGGCTAAGCGGTTGGGACTGAGAACAAGTGTGCCTTATCGAGTCTGGTTTGCAGGACAACAGGTACACAAACATCACTCTCTAATGGTAAAAGAAAAAAAAAAAAAAAGAAACTAACAAATTTGGTTTGTTGTTTCAGGTCGGTGGCTGGACTCAAGTCTATGGAAATGTCTTGTCATTTGCAACAGTGCGAGGAGCTTCACATGAGGTCCCATTCTCACAGCCTGAGAGATCACTAGTGCTCTTCAAAGCTTTCTTAGATGGTCATCCTCTTCCTGAAGAGTTTTAACATAAACCATGATCTGTTAAGCTTATGTAAGTATGAAAGATTTTGTCAAAAGGTTTATTTAATCGGCGAAAAAGCCAAAAAAAAAAATCGGAAAGATTTGTTTTCTTTTTGTTGTTGTAAAGATGTGAACCTTGTAGTAAGAAGGAAGTGTATGTTCTTGGAACTTTAGTGCTGTGCTAAACTACAACAGGAGCTTCTACTTGCATTGTTAAATCTTTAAACTCAAGAGCTATGATTGGTTTTGATAGCATCACAGCTATGCTTAGCCTCCTTTCATTTTCAAGCAACTCTTGTGATGTGTGATTAAAGTTCTCTGTCTCATCATCCAATGGATCTGATACAACCGCAGGTCTCACAGGCCTCACCCTATAAAATACAAGACTCCTTTCAATAAACGTGTATTCTATTAAGAGATTAACCTAAGTTCAAAGCAGAAACATCACCTGCAGTGGAGGTGGCAAGAGTATTTTAGCAGGTTTAGAAAGTACTTTGTATTGCCACTGCCATTATTTGACATTCTTGATGAGTTTATTATTAGCCAAGTCTCCAATGAAAACAATCACAAGAGCCTAAAACATTTACCTAAAACTTGGCAGTGACATTTTGATTGCTGGTCCCATCCAGTTTCCGAGTTTTTTCTCCATTTCTGAGGTTGCCATATTAAAAACAGAACATGAGTTTCTCAGAATATAATACACAGAGAGAGTTAAGTTAGACCAAGAAGCAAAGAATTCACCGTCTGATCTAACTTTGATACTGCAGATATCGGCACAAGCAGCACCATCAACTTCACTAACCTTAACCTCGACCATCTCTTCAGGGTGAGACAGAGTAGTTCCTAGCCCAAATGTGTCCAAGAAACCAAAACCTCTCTCCCTTTTTCGCTTTGGAACTGCAGTGATTTTCTATTCCCAACCACGAAAATTACTTTTACTCAAACCATATTTCTCCAAGAGTTTAGGAAGAATGTTTCTTTTTCTAGTTAATGATTCCATTGTATCCACTTTATGTATACAATATTAATTTTGTTTTCAATAGCTCAGAAAAAGAAACTTAATGAGAGCATCGTCAGTAATAGTCCAAGGCTAAATCACTTTTGAGACCAAAGGTGAGGCACTAACTTTTGAAAATCTTGCAACTTGGCTTGGGAGTCCTACTTCCTGCAACAAAACACCACCAATGTTATAATAATAATAATGCATCATTAATAAAGAGACAAAGTAAGACCCACCAACCTTGCGTCCGTGGTGACAAGCCTCATCACTGTTCACAAGCACCCTAGCGGCCCATCTAAAGGGACATAAGGAAGATGTGCACATCACTTGATTTGATAAGTATGAATCTAATTAATAGAATATTCTCCAACTTGGTCACTTGAGATTTTAACTATGCTTTACTAGAGAATTTAATGATTATATTAGTGCAAGCAGGGGAGAATGAACATACGCGCATGATGTAGGAGGGTTCCATACAGTTCCTGCAATCACCACAAGCTGTAAAAAAAAAAAAAAAAAGCGACAGAGACAAAAGGTAAAAGAATCAGTTGTGGGGTGATAGGTTTGAGTAAGGTGCAAAGGAAAGGCAAGAAGAGACCTCATCAAAGGCACCGACGGGGCTATCATCGTAGCTAGCAAGGAAAAACCCCCCAAGAGTGTACCTGAAGATCCCAAAAGAACCATAATGGTTTTGACGAAGACAACAAAAATAGAAAACGAGCCTTGTAAGTATCTTTTTTTTGTTACCCAAAAGCTTCAACTAATCTAAGTTCCTTAGGGATGAATGCACGAGCAGTAGCAGCCTTCACAAGATGGATCTGGTACAAGGCACTGAAACCAAGAACAAGAAGAAAACTAGCAAAGCAGATCAAGAAGAAGAAAAAGAAGAAGAATAGCTGGAGACATTCTCAAAAAGGGATGTTCTTGCCTTCCTTTGAATGTCCATGGAGGTTTGGCATAGCCAGATGAAATCCTCCTTTCTACAACATCCATGGAGAGTGATGATGCTATCTACGCCACATAGGGGAAAAACACATGCCTTAGGAGACAAGTTGTGAAGATACCCTAAGTGTAAATGAAGTTTACATATTGAAACAATTAGCAAAAAAAAAATCCAAAATGAAGCATATCTACAATCTGCACCGGTCCACATGTGAAACTATAAAATAATAACCATGGAGAAGATAGACACACATGGGTAGATAACACAATCATATCCAAGCTGTCTGCTTTTCAAACTGTAAAAACATCTCTTTGGGTATATATTCCTTAGCAAGAAAAGTCTAGAAAATAAATCCCAGAAGCATGGATTATGAGAGAGCAGACTCAGTGTCTTTGATCTCGATAATAACTATACAGTTTTTGTCTTAAAGATATTTCTGAAACGATCATCATGGATAAACCATGTGAGTAGCAACAAGTACATTACATATGCTAATGCAAAAGGAATAAAGAAAACAAATAGTGGATAGATACCGAACCTCGTTAAAAATCCTCCTGGAGAATAATAGCTTCAAGCGACTTGAGCAGGGTTCTTCGAGAATAATAAAAACTTCCAAGAAAAGAAAAAGTGGGGAGTCTCTATTATTAAAATAGTAATAAATGAAAAAGAAGAGTAACCGACAGAGAGGGTGAAGGTTCGTTGGTGATAGAAGAGGATAGGCTTTGGTTTCTTCGTCCAATCAAAGATACTTTTGTCTCTCTTTTTCAAGCTTTTTCTTATTTCGCGCCAATCCCAAGTTAACATCATCGTCCACCTTCTTTTATTTGCTTATCATTAATGATTGTTTATTTATTTATTTATTTATTTATTTAATTAAAGTAGGAATAGTTAGGTTCAAACCTTTCTTCTGCTAAAGATTTGCTTGAAATTAGGTTACTTAGCAAAATAAATTATTGGAAAGGCTGATTTGCTACAATGTAATTAGGTTTAAATATAAAAAGATAACTTTAACTAGATAAATATGCTTAACTGAAAGTGGAATAAGATTCAAAGAAATTGTCATACTTTCATAATATTTTGTTTTTGTTTTTACATAAACCACATTTAACCATGATTTTAAAGAGGTAAATAGACATTTCCAATATAAACTCTTTAAATTAATACTCTATAAATTAATATACAGTAAAAATCTCTATAAAATAATATAATTTTATAGCCACAAATTGAATTTTTGGTTCAATTAATATATCGATAAATTAATAATCTATATAAATTAATAAAAAATATAGTTTTGGTATAATCTCAACATTATTAATTTATATGTTTCTTTGTATAACCTTAAGGTTGTTGAAGCACCGTAGTCTAGTGGTTAAGGTTTAAAGGCTTCTACACTAGATCTGGGGTTCAAATCCTAAGCTATGCAATTTCTACACCAACAAGGTTTAAATTCTCGGAGAAGGTGAATGGCGAATTATGCAGATTGGAGAAAAGGCTTACAAGAAACGGATTTCATAGGACAGCTTAGGGTAATGCACTCAGACGTGAATCTGCATAAGGCAGGTAAAATTTGTAAAATTTTCGGGTACAATATCGTCTATGTAATATTTCTCATAGTTTGTAATGTATAACTAACCAGTGTTAAATATAAAAATAAAAACCTTAAGGTTAACTATTATATACTTAGGGTTTAGATTTGAATGAATTTCACTTTTACCTTCTATTTGGAACCCTTATTAATGTTTACCTTCTCTAAATAGACATTTTCAAAAATACCTTAACATGAAATTCCATTAAAGAGAGAAAAGATATTTATTGTCCTTGATTTATAATTATAAATAATTATATAAGTACATAAAAATAAAAATAAAATTTAAGTTTTCAAAATTCAATCAATTTCGAATTTTTGAAAAAAAAAATTTCTAAATAAACAATTATTTTTTCGTCAACATTTCCTTTTGAAATTCGAAAATTCTTTTTGAAACTATTTTTAATTCTTTTTAGTTTAATTTTAAATATTTATTTATATTTTACAAAAATTCTAAACTCTACCCTCCAAAGGCTCACCCCTCAGATTTAAAACCTAGTCTATATTAGTTAACCCTAGAGTTATAAATGTCTATTTACCTCTTTAAAATCAAGGGTAAATGTGGTTAAGGTAAATGTGAAAATGGAAATTAAAAAGAGTTAGTTTTGACAATTTTTCTTTAGATTTGAGGGGAATATAGGATCTAGAATTTTAATAAAAATTAAAATAAATATTTAAAATTAAAATTAAATAAATAAAATAGTTTCAAATTGTTTTTTTTTGATGAATTTCAAAATGAAAATTTGAAAAAAAAAAAAAAAAAAAAGAGAATTGTCAAAACTAACACTTTCTTAGTATCATTTTTCATATTTACTTTAACTATTTTTACCCTTTATTTTTTTAAAAAAAGATAAATAGATATTTATAACCACTAGGGCTAACTAATCTAGACTTATGGTTTAGATTTGAAGGGTGAGGTTTTGAAAGATATGGTTTAAAATTTTAATAAAATATATAAATAAATATTTAAAATTAAAAAAATATAGTTTCAAAAAGAATTTTTGAATTTCAAAAATGAAAGTATGAAAAATGGGAAAAAATCAAAGAAAAAATATTCTAAAAGTTCAAATTTAAAAAAAAATTCAAAAACTTTAAAAAATATAATTTTATTTTATTTTTTCAATTTTTATTATCTTATTCTTTATTTATTTAAATAACTATGTATACTTTATAAACAAGGACATAAATATTTTTGTCTCTTTAATGGAACCTCATGTTTAGGTATTTTTGAAAATATTCATTTAGAGAAGGTAAACATGAATAATAATATCAACTAGAAGGTAAAAGTGAAATTCTTCAGAAAAATATTCAAAAAAATATAAAAAAGTTTGAATTTGAAAAAGTGAAATTCGAAAGCTTTTAAAAGTAAATTTACTCTTTATTTCTAATTTTTTTTAAAAAAATATTTAAATAATTATTTATATTTATAAATCAATGACATAAATATCTTAACCTCTTTAATGGAACCTTATGTTTAGGTATTTTTGAAAATTTCTATTTAGAAAAAAATGAAACATGAATAATGGTACCAAATAAAAAATAAAAGTGAAATTCTCTCTAAAATTTCTAAGATTAGCTAATGTGTCAAAAATATCATCTTATAGGAAATTTAGTCTTATTCCCAATATATACATATATATTTTTTTTTTGTTATCAACTAAAAGATTCTACGAAGACTTTGCAAACTAAACTGATAACTTTGCAACTATATGAACCATGGAAAAAGTTATTTCTTGGTACTTCGCCCCAAAATAAATATGATAGGTTTTTAGTTTTGTATCTAAATTATTAAATTTGAAGATTAATATATTTAGATTCTATCATTATAGATTTATATATTGACAAAACTATTTATAGATTTGGATTTTTGTTTAAATGTAATACAAATATGTTCTAGAGTGTCGTCTACAAAATCATTTGAAGTTTTTAATTAGCTTTATTTTATTTAATATATTATTTTCTAATAATATTATTCTACTTAGCTTTAGCTATTATTGCTATCATTCCATATGCATAAGATGACGATAATAATTTACAGCACATAACCATCCTTAGAAATTCAAAAATAATTTACCATGAAGATTTAGGCTTTTTCATTGTTTCAGTAGCCTATATATGTTTTTTTTGTTTCAAAGTAGCCTATATATGTTAAAATGAACAAAGAGAAGAACAGTGGTGCGTTTGCATAAGCTGCTGCGGCTTTTTTCATTTGTTTATTAACAAAGTTAGTGAAACTCTTATATTTTTGGATCTTCTATTTGTGAATATTCTAAAGCAACCACTTTAGAAATATCTCACAATCTGCCATTCGAATGGACAATGCAAAAATGCAGATCAAACAAAAATGCAGATCAAGTAGAACAAATGCATATCATGCAGATCACGCAGAACAAATGCAATTCAAACTAATTTAATAAATTATTAAATTTAAATAAATGTTAAATATTTTTAATTAAAATTAAATAGCTAAACAAAATAAAACTTATTATAAATAAGTACATGTTGACACAAATAAGAATAAATATCATAATTTAATGATTATAGTGAAATTTTAAATTATATGAAATTCATCACTGATGAAAATTATAAAAATTATTCTTGTTTTACTCTTATTTATTGTATTTTTAATTAATTTTTATATTTTTCTTACCATTTAGTTCAACTAAAGAATTAGTATTGTCAAATTTTATATATGTTATTGTATCAATAAAATCTTCATTTAAAATTTTAAATATAAACTTTATTGTGACATATAAAAAATTTTCATAATTCAGTAAAACATAACTAAATTATTAAATATAATCTTAGTATTCATTTACTACGTGACATATTTTCGGTTCAGTTCAGAAAGTAAAATTAGGAACTAGAAAGTATCCAAAATAATCGGTTTTTATTTGGTTCCGGTTTGGTTAGTTCAGATAGTGTTAAATATCAGGTAGACGACATATAATTAATAGTTTTATATATTCGGGTATCCGTTTCGATTCTCAGATTGATTCTGGTTCGGTTTGTTATTTTGGATATAAAAATATAGGAACCATTCGGATATTTGAGGATTTCAATCTGATTCTGGTTTTGGGTATTTCGAGTCGGTTCTAGTTTAATTTTTCGGTTCCATTTTTTTGCCCAGGCCTAGATGTAGATATCTAAAATAAAAATATATTCAATCTTTAATTTTGTAAAAGCATTTACTAATTTTTTAATGAAGTTATATAATTTTAGATAATTAAAAACTTGCATAACCAATTTCTGTAAAGAAATTATATAGAAAGTTTGGGAATATATAATTTTTAACTGATATAAAAATATGTATATTTTATATATCATTTTAATGGTAAATTCATCCAAACATAAAGTTTTTCTTAAACATAACATGATATAAAATATAGCTTTGAAATAATTTTCGTTTGATTTAAAAACTAAATAAAATAAACTAAATAAAACTATTTATAAGAAACTAATGGC